GCACGCGGTACTCGCCAACCACGCCGCCGCCGTCCCGCCGCTCGTGCATCGACTTGGAGTCGCCGGTGCGCGGGTCGGTCACGTGGAACTGGTAGCGGTAGCGCGGGTGCGGGTCCGTGTAGTCGCCGCGGTCGCCGCCGTACACGGCGTGCTCGGTGGGCGCTGTTGGAGCTGTAGCCGGTTGTCGACGTGTCCGTGGTGGCGCGGTGGACCGTTGTTGTTGCTGTAGACCCTGTGGGCGCCGTGGCCGGCGTTGGTGTGTATCTCCTGTTGAAGCCGGTTCGGTCGCCGTATCTATGGCCGAAGCCGTAGTTGTTGCCGGTGGCACGGCTGCCATCGTCGCTTAGATTGTGCTGTCGCCCGCAGTGAGTCTGAGGCCATCAGCAAAAGCAGAGCAGACAGGATGGAAACAGCACCGGGCATCTGTTGGCAGATCGGTCACACACACATCAGGAGGGAGGACAGGATCAAAACGGCGCCTGGCATCGGTTAACAGATCGGTCAAATGCATATCAGAGAGAAGACAGGACGAAACGGCGCCAGGCATCTGTTAACAATCGGTCAAATATACATTGGGAGAGAGGACAGGATCTGAACGGCACACGGCATCTGTTAACAGATCGGTCATATAAACATCAGGAGAGCAAGCAGGATCTGGACAACATCCGGCATCTGTTAACAAATCGGTCAGATACACATCAGGAGAGCAGGCAGGATTGGAACGTCGCTTGGCATCTGTCAAATCGGTTAAAAGCATGCCAGTAGGCAAGCAGGATTTTCACTGCAGGCATTCGTTCAGCATTGGGATTATGTTTAATTCCCTCCTGATGTGTGCGGCTATTGTTTTATTTCAATGCTAACAGTGGATGACATCTGTCAAACGTCCGAGTACACCTACCTACACAACAAACAAAAAATCGTTAGTGTTCCACGTTTCCATGGGGTTTTGACCCGAAATGGTCATCTTGAAGACCTTTCGGTGCAGTTCACAGCGCTACCATTCTTAATACCTGAAACCCTCAAGTTTCTGAGCTATACGCGCGCAAAAATGGGGACACTCTAAGGGGATAGTATTTCAAAGTCATCTTGGCGTTTGACGCCATACAACATCATTCTCATTCAACATCAATTCCTGTCATCCATAAGTAGCAGTGATC